CTTTCTTTTGGTGGTATTTGATCGCCTGTGCGGTTTTTATTTTTTGCGCTATAAAAAAAAAGGCTGACAATTTTGAGAAAAAAAAACTATATTTTGGACTTTTTGCTATAAAACATGTCCAGTAAAAAAATGTAAAAATCAAATGTAGTCATAAATTTCTGTCAAAATGTATTCTGCGACATGTCTTTGCTAAAAAAAATCCCAATAGGTATAAATTAATTGGTTTACGTGAAAGTTATAGCGTCTACAAATGGCGGGAAAGATACTGGTACTTTTTTTTAATTATACTAATAATGGCGGTGATCAGCAATTTATGACAGTGATCAGTGACTTATGGCGGGACTGCAGCGGACATTTTGACACTGGGGGGGAACTGACTTGGGGTCACTGACATCCCTAGTGACATCAATACAGTGATCAGTGCAAAAAAAAAAACCACTGACACCGTACTAATGGCACTGGGGAGGAAGGGGTTAACTTTTATTAGGGAATGAAAGGGTTAACTGTGTGAGGGGAATGTTTAACTAGGGGGCGGGGGTGTGTACTTCACAGGAACATGCTGATCCCAAGAGATAAAGTCTTCTCTCAGGTTCAGCATGCTCTGAACTGACAGATAGCAGAGCTGCAATGTAAACACTGCAGCCGTGCTATATGTCAATGATTACTTGTAATCGCCGACACCCGGTGGGAAATGACCGGCCGGGAGCCGGTGATGGACACCCGCTGCTACAATCGGTGGGACGGGTAGGATGGGCGTGCGCCCCCTACCCATTTTGCACAGCGATGTTAAAAGACGGCGCTATGCGTACAGGTGCCGCCCTGCCGCAGTAAAAACACTGCGGCGGGTCGGCAAGCGGTTAAATATATGGTATTGTAGATATGTTCCTTTGCAAACTGAAGGCTTTCATTTTTTTCATTAAAGGCTCCAGCATGCATGCGATCAGTATGTCATAGTTGACATAGTGGTCCAATGAACAGGATCCAAGCTGATTGGCTCCCAATTGTCAGTGGACTAAAGCAGGGTATACACATTGAATTTTGGCTGGTTCAGCAGGAACTGGACAAATTTTGATGTGTGTACTCCTCACTGATCAACAGAAGCTGGTCATTACGCCAGAGAGGGTGGAGTACAGTGGGGGAGACTACCACATCCACATCACTTGTGTAGATGTGGGAATCTGGTAGCTTTTTCGTACAACCCACTGGTTAACCTCCCTTGCGGTCTGAATATGTCAGTATTTCTGTGCTCAAAGCGGTACATTGTTTTCAATGGAAATATGTTGTTTATGTATTGTAGGCCTGTAATTCTTAGGAATAACTCACTGAAATCTGTCTGAACAAGAGTCTAGTAAACATCCCAGGTATGATAACAATTGAAACACTAAATCATAAATTATAATATAATAAATAATCATAAAAAATATAATAATACATTTAATTCAATAATGTAATCAAACCAAAAACACTGAAATTTGAAATAGAGCGCCAAGTTCGCACATCACTGAGCTTAGTTGCAAAATAGTTTTCAGTGTCTTGACGAATTTCCCCACGAATCATTATCACTCAATTCTGCAAGTAATTTACGATCGCTGTTCTCTAGCTGGTCTAAAGCCGCTTTTGACCCAAAAGGCCGCTTTTTGGATGCCATGGACGTTTCTCAGTTTCCAGGCAGAAAGAACAGTAAAAATGCAGGCAGGGCATTGGACAAAATGTATGTGAAATGGTTTGATACAGTAATGTAATACTATCAGATTTTAGTGTATTGAGTGAATGTAAAATTTTTACATTTTTGAAATTCCAGCCGATTCCGTCCCCCGTACGTCCTGACGCTCGCAGGGAACGAAACCCGGAAGACGGATGCCGATATCGGCTGGAGGACATGGCCGGGACGCTGCAGGGGGGACATCGCGGGAGCGCAGAACAAGGTAAGTGCTCGAGGGATCCCAGAGCAACGCTGCAGTGTAATCCCGTGTGCCGCTCGGGGTTACAGCTTTTGGTACTGAAAGTTAACCTCGAGCTACACTCGGGAATACCACCAGGGGGGTTAAATGAAAAAAAAAAAAAAAAAAAAACTGTCCACTCACTCAGATTAAGTGTTGACTGGTGGCTGTGAAGGGGAGAACCTTATAAACTTATCCCCAGCGTGATGCTGGGAAAAACACGCCAGATCGCTTCCATGCTGGGAAACACTCCAGCTCGCTTCCATGCTGGGAAAACCTTATGAACTCATGGAAGAGCTATTTAGAGTTCAGTCATAGACAAAGAATGTGAGTGTTTTCCAACCTATCTGTAGTAGACAAAGGAATGTGAGTGTTTCCCAACCTATCTGTAAAGAGCCAGATCTCTGATACACTATATTGCCAAAAGTATTGGGACACCCCTCCAAATAATTGGATGCAGGTGTTCCAGTCATCTCCATTTGTATAAAATCAAGCACCCAGGCATGCAGACTGCTTCTACAAACATTTGTGAAAGAATGGGTTGCTCTCAGGAGCTCAGTGAATTCAACCGTGGTACCGTTATAGGTTGCCACCTGTGCAATACGTCCATCCGTGAAATTTCATTGCTACTAAATATTCCACGGTCAACTGTTAGTGGTATTATAATAAAGTGGAAACAACTGGGAACAACAGCAACTCAGCCATGAAGTGGTAGGCCACGTAAAATGACAAAGCGTGGTCAGCGCATGCTGAAGTGCACAGTGCGCAGAAGTGACCAACTGTCTGCAGAGTCAATAGCTAAAGACCTCCAAACTTTGTGTGACCTTCAGATTAGTACAACAGTGCGTAGAGAGCTTCATGGAATAGGGTTCCATGGCCGAGCAGCTGCATCCAAGCCTTTCATCACCAAGTGTACTGCAAAGCGTTGAATGCAGAGGTGTAAAGCAAACTGCCACTGGACTCTAGAGCAGTGGAGATGTGTTCTCTGGAGTGATGAATCACGCTTCTGGAAATCTGATGGACATGTCAGGGTTTGGCGGTTGCCAGGAGAATGATACTTGTCTGACTGCATTGTGCCAAGTGTAAAGTTTGCTGGAGGGGAGATTATGGTGTGGGGTTGTGTGATGTGATCTGTAGAAGTATGTAATTGTAGATATAGTTTAATCCTGTGTTATTAGAGATACAGTATTCCTTAACCAGTCAGACATTTGTTTTCAATTAGCATCTGAAAGGACAGAGCAAGCTTCTTTTGCTAATTTGCCAATAAAAAACATACACATCAGGATGAACATGGATTTTTCACCTTCTTGAATTCTAGTCATTTTGGCTAGTAGGGGACATTGAGTTTGCTCTGGAATGTCTGCCAGCTTTGAGTTATATCCACAGATCAGAGGAATCCATTTTATCTCTCATGAAAGCTAAAATATTAATTGCAGAGGGATGAAAATAATTCCTTCTGATTGGACACATTTTAGGCTACATGTACATGTAAAACTGTATTTGATGTAAAATCGCTGAGAAACACACAAAGTGTTTATATGGCACCTGACTGCGACAGCTGAACAGTGATTGGTACGGTTGTGATCGGACTGACACGCTGGTGTCAGATATCCTATCCCTGTCCCAGTAATCCAAACCGTTCCTGGCTCTGGTCACTTCAAAACACAGAACATCCGGTGAACTAGTAGAGGAACATCCGCCAGGGTTGATTGGCCAAGGGCTAAAGTCCAGCCCACATCCATATTTCAATAATTCATGAACCGCGAGATATGGACGGGGTGTTTCGTATGGAGCAGGTAACATTTGACTGGTGAATCGCTGACTTTCTTTCGACTTGCTCCAGTCACAGGATAAATCTTGGTAAGAGTTTTATTTTTGTTTTTCTACCCTTTTTATTTTACAGCGAATAGCCAATTGTGTATGTCTTTTTGTATTTTCTGTAACCCTTTTTTTATTTGTACATATTTTATGCACTGCCCACTTTTGAGATATTAAATCATAAAATTAAATAAGTGACTTCTGTGTACTAAATAGGGCTCATATCTATGGAGAGATTGCCAATCTGTATACAAGTGCACTACATTTTGGCACATTGTAGTGTCTGAGCTCAGTCTAAGTTCATTGCCAATCTGTATACAAGTGCACTACATGTTGGCACATTGCATGCAGATTGTAAAGTAGCAGATCTGCCAGAGATCTGTGTTTGTGTTCTGGCCCAGCAGAGCGGTCTATGGACAAACTGTTGGGCAGTGGCAAACTACCATTTGTTGTATATCTGGTGTGGGGGTGTGTGGACAGTGGAAGAGTGATTAACATCAGGGCTCTAACTTGTAGGATAGCTGGAGGAATCCTAGAAGGTTGTGCAGATTGCTAGTCTGCTCCCCAACCCAAGTCTCAGACCACGTCCTGGTTAGCTAGTATCCGGGGGTGTGCATTTATCCGTGACAGATTGTTTTTTTGGGGGTTGGGCTTGGCCCCTTAGTTCCAGTGAAGGGAACTTTTAAGGCATCAGTATACCAAGACATTTTGGACAATTTTATGCTCCCAACTTTGTGTGAACAATTTGGGGATTGCCCCTTCCTGTTCCAACATGACTGCGCACCAGTGCACAAAGCAAGGTCCCTAAAGATATGGATGAGCGAGTTTGGGGTGGAGGAACTTGACTGGTCTGCACAGAGTCCTGACCTCAACCTAATACAACACCTTTGGGATGAATTAGAGCAGAGGATTCGAGCCAGGCCTTCCTGTCCTACATCAGTGCCTGACATCACAAATGAGCTTCTGAAAGAATGGTCAAACATTACCATAGACACATTCCTAAACCTTGTGGACAGCCTTCCCAGAACAGTTGAAGCTGTTATAGTTGCAAAGGGTAAGCCGACTCAATATTGAACCCTACGGCCTAAGACTGGGATGCCATTAAAGTTCATGTGTGTGTAAAGTTAGGTGTTCCAATACTTTTGGCAATATAGTGTATTTGTTGAAGTACTTAAGTTGACATGTGAGCTAACCACAGACTGCCGGTCTCAATATTGTATGTAAGATTTTGAGCACTTGTACTTACTGTACAACACATTTTTCATTCATTACATTTGCTTTGAACCCAAGAACAGCAAATACAACCAAAGTGGCCAGCACTGAGGTAAAGAAGTTGATGAATGAGACAAGAGCTGCATCAAACTGGCAGTTATTATCTTGCTTATTATAGCTTGAAAAGGCAATGACACCACCAAAACCTAGTCCTAGAGCAAAGAAAACTTGCGTTGCAGCCTCTCTCCACACCTGGGGGTCCAGCATCTTCTCAATCTGGAATGGATAATAAACAAATTAGATAAACTATCCCATTTAATTAGTTCCACTCTGGAAATATGAAACAATCAACAATAATACCTGAGGAGTTAACATATGAAGAATTCCATCAACAGATCCTCTAAGCAACAATCCACGTATAAGGAAGCATATCAGTACCACATATGGGAAGAGAGAGCTAAAATACATAACCTGAAAAGGAATGCAAGAAAAAGTGTGTTGATTTGTAAACAATTCACCTGGACAGCATAGCCATGTAAGTAGATTTGTGTAACAGGAAGCTGCTCTGGAATAATGTCAAAGCACTTGCAACCCCCCACCCCCCATCAGAAAAAAAACATTTTTCAAAATAAAACTCCACGTGGAACTAATCCTTGCAAATTTTAGCTCCATGTGGAGACTGCCTGGAGAGCTGAAGGGGGTGACATTGCCTGTAGCAGGGCTTCTTCATTGATTGGCTGAAATTTGCAGGAGACAGCTTCTTCTTCAGCTAACATTATTCAGTCCTATCTGAGAGTTGTGATATCAGGACCCAGAAGTGACATTTTACACGTGCCTTAAACTAAAAAAAAAAAAAAGTCCCTCTCTGCTCCTCACCTCCTGGGCCCCTATGGTGAACCAATGGGGCCCAGGGAAAATATAATTAATGTTACAGCAGGGCCAGCTGTACTGCCCCATCAGTGGCCCTGGCTGTGCCCTAGGCGACTGCCTAGCTTGCCTAGCGGTAGAGCTGGCCCTGATTACATGTGAACAATTAGGCAGCCAATCTCTCTTTTGTAGTACAAGATCATATGCAGTAACAATAAAAAAACTAAAATCTTGGGGTACATAATGAAACTGGACTTTAAAATGTAGGTTGCACTGTAGCCTATGTGGCAGCTTAATATTAAATTGTTTAATTAATTGCCCTGGATAGGCATTTTAAAATAAAACTAATAGGTAAGAAAGATTAGAATAGGGGCGCCATACAGCTACAATCAACTTACTGTATTTCTGATACCAAAACAAATGTACTGAAAGTAGGATTTTTTGATGTGGTGGGTTGTGCCTTTAAACTTTTCTTTAGTTCTTAAATTCCTCTAAGTTGCTTTTGCTACAGTGCACCCATTGACTCTAAACGTGTTTTTTTTTTTTTCAGAAAGCCAAATAAAATACTTTGGATTGAGGACTTATTATTAAACATACAATCGCAAAATCATTTTCTTTATTGTCTAAACTCTTATAGGTATAGCACTGTTAGCAAATATAAGCCTAGTTGCCAGTATTCCAAATGAAAGCATTTCAATCACATTAGTAAAATAATTTTTACCTTCCCTGATGACTGGATGCCTTTAATCATGGCCATTCCTACAATACTCCAAGCACAGAACAAGCACAGTGTCATTTTCCAGTTTAGCCCTGCTCCTTCTGATATTGAATTTGAAATATCCAGAGCTTCTCTATACCAGAAGTAAGTTGTAGCTGAACTTTTGTCACACTCAGGTTCAACCACTGGAAAACAAAAACAAGAAATTGATCAAAATATTTTTTTCCTGGAATATGATCATACACTATACAATTTAATTATACAATCTCCTTTATATTCACCAAAACTATAGAAAATGAGGACACACCTAAATAATTAAATCAGTATCTAATCTGGCAAGCCTTTGCACTACATAGTCTATGTCCGATTTCAAGGAGATTGTACAGAGTGCATACAGTAGTGTATGGTTACCTAACTGGTGCTATCACACTGTCCTGCTGCGGTTTGACAGCAGAATGGGTGCAGCACAGTGTAACCATGGTTATCGTGCAGGTTATATATGGTTTCCCATGGACTTTTGGTGTTTTCAGAAAATGCACCAAAAATGCAAGACAGTCTATGGGAAACCACAGGTAATCCACATGGATACTACGCTCTAAAACAAATACAAGCTTACTCAACAAAGCAAAGGGTAATGCGAATCAACCCAACATAATTCATCTTTTACTGGTTTCTTAGTAAATATAAACTGGATTAATTGCTGTGACTTATTGCAGTTTTCACATTATCATTTTGCTGTCTTACCTGAGAGACTGTGTTACTCTGTAGGCACTAACCTTAACCACTTCCTGTCCGGACACTTTTACCCCCTTCCTGTCCAGGGCAATTTTCAGCTTTCAGCGCTATCACACTTTGAATGACAATTGCGCGGTCATGCAATACTGTACCCATATGAATTTTTGGGAGACAGATAAAGTTTTATTTTGGTGGTATTTATTCACCGCTAGGATTTTTATTTTTTTTTTTGCTATGTAAATGAAAAAGTCCAAAAATTTTGAAAAAAAGTGTTTTCTTATAAAATTTTGCAAATAAATAATCTTTCATCATAAATCTTGGCCAAAATGTATTCCGTTATATTTTTAGTAAAAAAAAATAAGCCAAATTAGTTTATAACCAAAAATTATAATTTTTAAACATTTTTTTTACATTTTTATTAAATTTTTTTATATTATTATTTATGTTTTTTTTTTTTTTTTTTTTTTTACATACTGTCACCCTAGCAGTACAGTGTCACCATGGTGACACTGTACTACTTGTGGGGGGGTGATGAAGATTTTTTTTTTTGTTACAGTGATTTCTTTTACATCCATATACGATGTAAAACCAATCATTTCTCTTTCTCTCTGTCTGCATTCTTGCAGCCATTGAGAAATACTGATTGAGCTGTGATTGGTCACAGCTTGTCACATGGTACAAGGCTGTTGTGAATAGCCTTGTACCATGTGACATCTGTGATCATTCACAGATTTCACACATAGTAAGCAATGATGTCAGAAGTGACATCTTGCTTACTACTTTGCATGTGATCACTGATTGGCCAATCAGTGATCACATGATCAGGACCTCGTACTGAAGTCCCGTCCTACGATCGGTGTTTCACTGTGTCCACAGCTAGAAATGGTGGGTGCCGCCCCATCGTCTTGCCGTTTATAAACAGCAGGCAGACAGCAAGTGGTTAAGTAATAAAGTTATATAAAACTGGGCAAGGTTGAAAGAAAAAAAAAACTATTGTCTGGCCAATGAGAATGTCCTCCAAAGTGAGTTTGTTTTTCTAAGATTGTGATTTTGTATGCCATTTAGGCTCAGTTCACACTAGCTTTGTCAGCAGGCGTCAGACAGGCGTTTGGGAAGTGTTTTTTTAACGCTTCTCAAACGCCTATGAAAATTCTGCACATGGCAGCACAGTGCTGTTCAAACTCAAGCGTTAGTGTCGTGGCAAAACGGACGCCTCATGTCCACTCAGGAAGAGTTGAAGCCTCCCATTCAAGTCTATGGTGCCACCTGGCAGGCGTTTGCGGTGCGGTTACGGAGCGTTTCTACCATTTAACCTCATTATAGGCGTTTGTGGTGCAGTTTTAACGCTTGGCAAACGCCTATCAACCGCCTCAAAACCGAGCATGGGGAGTTTGAGGCATGTTAAACTATTTAAAAACTGCATAGTTTTCACAAAGTACAGAAAAGGTAAGTTTTTTAGGTTGACTCACTTATGCGATTCTTTCCTATTGTGTGCTATTGTTAAGCTCCCAGCTTAAAGGACAACCATCACAAAAACAGATTTTTTCTGTTCCTGTTCCTTCCAGTGATTCCCTACTTCCTGAGTACCAAGCAGGATCTGCATGATCCATCCCAGTGTTTTAATATAAATACAATTTGTAAAATTATTTTCTCTAAGGTTTATTGGAGGACCCATTGGGAGATCTTGATCTCTGACCACTGGATTATAGCACTACATTCAAAAGTATAAAGCTAGGCAAAGCACAAAAGCACAGCCTAGTGATGGCTCCTGATGAGGTCTAAACCCCCAACTGCTAGAGGCAGCTCAGTTAAAGTGTTACTAAGCCCACAACAGTAAAATCTGTTTGTATATTCAGTAAAACGTGCTTGTTATACTCACTGTGGAACCTAAGGTGTTAAGCCTCTGCATTATGTAAAAAGGCTGTTTGATCCAGTTTTCTCTGATCCTCTCCGTTTTCCACAGTCCACAACTTATCTACTGATAGTACAGGGCCCTAGGAGAAACTCAGCACATGCTCAGTTTGCTATGTATTTCTATAGTTTTTTTTTTTTTTGGGGGGGGGGGGGGGGTGCTACAGGGCCACTGTTTAGGCAGAGGCTCAGGGATCATGCAGCCTCATAGGACAGTCAGAGGAGAATGAAAACTCCTACAAGATTAACCAGTGCTCAGCCAGAAACTGACTGCTAATGAGAAAAGGTATTTAGCAGTTTATATTTACTAAAATAATTTCCATGTTCTGTGCACTGTGGGAGACTAGATATAAGGGATGCAGGGTCCTGGGTTTAATAAAACTTTAAGCTAACCAAACAGGATTAGAGTTTCTTCGTCCAGCTTGTAGGCAAGCTAAGGCATGCTAACAGCTTGGATGCATAAAGTCCTGCTGCTGGGCTACTGTATTCTGACAGCCACCTCAGTCAGAATACCCAAACAGCAGCTGCACCGGATTAAATGCAGCTGCTGTTTGGCAGGCAGTTTTCTATCAAGCTCCTGTATGACTGGGAGGACCCACAGAATTTTCCACGGGAACCAGTTAAATTCAACCAGTGTATGGTCAGCCTAAGTTACAAACCAATACATAGAGAACAAGTGGTCACAGACAAAACAACCAAAGGGGAGGGTGCTGCGTTCTTGAACTTAGAGAATTGGATTTTTACTGTATTGGGACATTATTATTATACAGGATTTACATAGTGCCAACAGTTTGCACAGCGCTTTGCAATATAAGGGAGACAGTACAATTACAACACATTTCAGCACAGAAGGAATAGGAGGGCCCTGCTCATGGAGCTTACAATATAAAGGAAGGGGAGGTGGTAAAAAAGATAGCCGTAGGCGATGTTCTGATGGAGGTGACACAAGTACACTTCTTAGGTGGAGGTGGGGTAGGCTTCCCTGAATAAGTGAGTTTTCAAAGATCGCCTAAAGGCAGACAGGGTGGGGGTTGACTGGACATACTGCGGTAGGGAGTTCCAGAGGATGGGAGAAGCTCTGGAGAAGTCCTGGAGCAGAGCGTGGGAGGAGGCGACAAGGGAGCTAGAGAGCAAGATGTCTTGGGAGGAGCAGAGAGGACGATATCTGCAGATGAGGTTGGTGATGTAGCTAAAGGCAGTGTTGGCTTTGTATGCTGCAGTTAGCATTTTAAATTTTATACGTTGGGTGGAAGCCAATGAAGGGATTGGCAGAGAGGGACAGCAGTCACTGATCAGCTGTTAAAGTGTAGAAGTCTAGAAGCAACATCTATAATAGACTGAAGGGGGGATAACCTGTGTAGACCAGTGAGGAGGGAGTTGCAGTAATCAAGGCAGAATAAAACCAAGGTTTGGATAAGTTGTTTTGTGGTGTCATTGGTCAGAAAGGGGTGGATTTTGGAAATGTTCCAGAGGTTGAGGTGGCAGGATTTAGCCAGTGATTGGATGTGGGGCCCAAAGGAGAGGTCAGAGTCTAGGATTACACCTAGCACCCTGGCATGAGGGGAAGGACCAATGGTTGTGCTGTTAATGGGGGATCAGGGAGGAGGAAATTATTATTATTAATATTATACAGGATTTATATAGCGCCAACAGTTTGCTCAGCACTTCACAATATAACGGGAGACAATACAGCTCAATACAAGGGGTTAGGAGAGCCCTGCTCCTTGGAGCTTACAATCTAAGAGGGAGGGGCTAGTGGTACAAAAGGCAGTAACTGTAGGGCATGGACTGGTAGAAGGAGTAGAAGATACCATTAGCTGAGGGCAGGATAGGCTTCCCTGAAGAGATAGGTTTTCAGAGATCGCCTAAAAGTGAGCAGAGTAGGCGAAATTGGGGTAGAGAGTTCCAGAGGATGGGGAAGCTCTGGAGAAGTCCTGGAGACTAGCATAGGAGGAGGAGACAAGGGAGCTAGAGAGCAGGAGGTCATGTGAGGAGCGGAGAGTATGGTTTGGGGGATATTTGGAGACAAGATTGGTGATGTAATTTGGGACAGAATTATATATAGCTTTATATGTTGTTATTGTTTTGAATTTTATCCATTGGGCAATGGGAAGCCAGTGGTGGGATTGGCAGAGAGGGGTGGCAGATACGGAACGGTTAGTAAGGTGGATGAGTCTGGCAGCAGCATTTATGATAGACTGAAGAGGGGATAGTCTGCGATGAGGTAGGCCAATGAGGAGGGAGTTACAATAGTCAAGGCGAGAGATAACAAGGGAGTGCATAAGTTGCTTAGTAGTTTCCGAGGTTAAAAATGGCCATATCTTGGAGATGTTGCAGAGGTGAAGTCTGCATGATTTGGACAGTGATTGGATTTGGGGCTGAAAAAACAGATGGGAGTCTAGGATTACACCTAGTACCCTGGCATGAGGGGAGGGACTGATGGTTGTATTATTGGCTTTGATGGAGAAGTCAGGGGAGGGGGCACGGGATGGAGGGAATACTACGAGCTCAGTTTTGGATGATTGAGTTTGAGGAAGTAG